CCCCAGCCACAGCGGTCGTCCGGGTCGGACCACAGCAGATCGCACATGGGACCCTCGTGCGGCACTTCCTGGATGCGGTCGATGGAGCGGATGTGGTCGAGCGTGTCGATGGATGGTGAGAGGCCACCGTGCAGGCAGAAGATCTGGTCGTCGATCAATGCGGTGAGTGGGAGGTAGTCAAAGAGGTCGGTGAAGTACTTCCAGACGTTTGCGTTGCCGTACTTCCTGAGGCACTCGTCGTAGAAGCCGTAGACCTGGGTGATTTGTCGGGACTCGTGGTTGCCGCGGAGGATGGTGACGCGGTCGCGGTATCGGACCTTGAGTGCGACGAGCAGCGTGACGGTCTCGACCGAGTAGTAGCCGCGGTCTACGTAGTCGCCCATGAAGAGGTAGTTGGTGTCTGGCGAGTTGCCGCCGATGCGGAAGAGTTCGGAGAGGTCGTGGAACTGGCCGTGGATGTCGCCGCAGACGGTGACGGGGCAGCGGACGGGCTGCACATTCGACTCGCCGAGCAGGATCTCGCGCGCCTTGTCGCAAAGACGCTTGATGTCGTTTTCCGAGAGCTGCTTGCACTCGCTGAGGTGCGCGATCCACGCGTCCTGCTCTGTGATGTCGACCATGGTGCGCGAGAGAGACGTGGAGCAGAGATGGCGGGTGACGGAGCGGGCAGGAGGAGCTTATACTGATTCGAGAGAAGAGGTAGGCGTGTTGCCAGGGGTATTGAGCGGTCGATAGGTGCTGGACTGTCCAGGGTGCAAGACGTGCGCAGTTGCTTGCCACCTTGAAGATGGGATTCGGACGAACGAAGAGCGATGCAGGCGTGCTGAAGAGTTGAAGCCGGTTGGGTATGCCTAATCTCCGAGGCACGGTCTATACAGTACGAGCAGAAGAAGCGAGGCCGGATGTTGCCGCAGCGATGTTTGTTCTTTTCGTTTTCGGCGTGTGCTGTGCGAGGGATGCAGAATGCCAGCAATCGTGCGGGGTCACGCAATCGAGGTGAGGGGGATGGATGGTGGTAGGCGCGTGGGTGACGACGATGGCGGCGGCGGCGTATGATGAGCTAGCGAGCGAGCTTCCGCCTGAGCCCGCCTGAGCTCGCCTGAGCCAGCCTGAGCCAGCGAGAGAGCCGCCGCTCGCAGAGGCCAAGCCAACCAATTCTGGAAATGCCAGCTGCTCTCTGCTCTCCAAGGGCGCCGCCGTGCACTCGAGGGAACGCGGTGCAACAACAGCCGTGCTCTTCTCGCTCGCCTCTCGCGGCTCAGTTGGGCGGGCGCGGTGCTGTGATGGATCTGGCTCGAATCTGCTCGCCTGTTGGTGGGCGATGCAGCGCTTTCGATTCAGAACCGCGTCGAGGCGAAGCGCGAAATGCAATTCAGGCCGCGCTGCTGGATTCAAAACTGGGCGCCCATTTCTGTAATGGGTGCTGATGCAGCCCCCCGATTTGAAGCCGCTCTCTGCTGGTCTAAGCGCGCACCCTCGCGGTCGATGCCTGCTTCTAACATTCGGAAAGTCGCCCAAAAAATCCCAGAAATTCCGACTGCAGATAGTCTCCAGCCTCAGGCAGGGTCGATCACCACCAACCAGCCTCACCGTCGCTCTGCCGCCCTAACACTGTAATTTCAGCCCCAGCTGCTTTCCCCCGCCAGGCGTGGGTGATTTCCAATCGACCGAACAGCGAGGAGCATCGCATCTCCAATCTCGAGCCTCTCATCGCTTCTTCTCCACCTCTGTCTACCTACACCCCATACTCGCCCTCGACCATGTCTCTGTTGCGAACGACTGTGGCCGGTGCCTCGCGCTCCAGCGGTGTGCTTCGCACTACGTCCGCCTCCGTGCGCCACCTCTCGACGTCCAGGGTCAACGCCGCAGCTCGCGACGCCAAGGATCCTCAGCTGGGCGACTACCCGGACCTGCCGTTTGTCAGCCTGCAGCAGCGCAAATACTCGCCCAAGTGGTGGGACACACAAGAAAAGCGAAACTTTGGCGAGACGGTAAGTGCATCCCCCACTTTGCACCGATGTGGATCTGTTGCTGATGTTGTTGCGTTTGGGTCGGGGTTTCAGCTTCACGAGCAAGACGATGTGCTTTCGGTCTGGGCGCCTGACGTACACGCCGTGCCCGCCAGCTCGGCACTCCGCCAGTTCATCGTTGCCATCGGCGTCGTCGGCGTATTTGGCTCCATCGTCTATGCTGCCACGCCCGAAAAGCCCGCACTGCCAAGGACGTACCCGCGAGACGGCCTCGCCGCCGAACTTGGAGGCGAGCAGGTTGCAGTAAGCACACAACCCCCTAAGCTTTTTGTAAAAGGAGAACAGATGGCTGACTTGTTGATGTACACCACACAGGCTCCTAAGGAAGGCGCTTTCAGCGGGGAGGAGGACGAGGAGGAGGACGACGAATAGGCGTCTCGCTTCGGAGTGAGCTCCGTCGTGTTGGTAGCCTGCAATCCCATCCGATATGAATCGTTCCCCACCAGCCACGTGACGGATCATCGCCTTGAGCCCGATGCTTCAAGCAGCCTCTGCAGCTGTGTGCACGTCAGGCCCGGCGGGAGCGAAATGGGCTGCCGCTGGTTTTTGCTTCATCTCCACGCCGGCGCAAGTCACGCACTGCTATGCGCTCTGCCTACAGCCGCTGTTGTCTCCGGTCAGCATGTTGCCAAGCGGACAGCTGATTGATCAAGGCAATGATGGCCAGCCGGGCATGCTGGACGCGCTTGGGTAGACGAGGTCTCCGTCCTGATGAGGTTGCGCCGAGCGATGCAGGCTAGCAGCTGAGTGTTAGTGTCAGAGCAAAGCGTGACCAGCCACTGGGCCAAAGCGGCGGGCACTGCAATGACAGCGACCAAGGTCGAAAGTGCGCACGGAGCATGTGTACGATGTGCCTTTCAACGAGCTTGTACTCCTGTCGCTCCATCAGGTATGATTGGGACCCCGCTTTCAGTGCAAGGGCGTAAGGCGGCCAAGTACGCACGGTTACAAGTGCTGCCACATCACCGAAAGCAGCCATGCACAGTCGCTGACGTTTCGGAAGGAAATCGAGTTAGAAGGCGGACTGCGAGCTGGCTGGACAAGCGTGGTCGGAGTGATTGTTCGCGGAGAGGCTAATGTACAGGTGTGCAGCCGCATCTTGAAGCAGTTGCAAAGGCAGCCAAGTCGAGTGGGATCATGGGACTAACGACAGAGGCAGAGTCTAGTCGAATGCAGCTCTTAAGACGGTGCCGACACGACCACGCATGTGGCTCCGGATCGGCATGCTATCGACGAGCGCACGAGGTATATGGATTGTGCATCTAAGTAGACGCAGCTACTCTGCGCGCAGACTCCTGGTTGCGCTTGACGTTGACGCTGAGTGCCTGGATTCGCAGAAAGGGGGGAGAGAGTGTGAGACCAGAACGAAGCGTTGGCCAGCGTGTGGCTCGGTTTCGGCGACTTACGTGGTACAGCACGATGAGGATCATGGTGAGGCTGCCGAGCCAGTTGGCGAGCGCGGACAGCGTGACGTCGCTGATCATGACTGCGCTCGGTGTGAGGATTTGGGGTAGGGAGACTGACTGGTGGCGAGGAAGCAAAGTCGGGGATGGCCAGTGCAGCAGGCGGGCGGAGGCGTGCATGTGAGCTGGAAGGTGGAAGGCGGACGCGCAGCTCTTCTTTTCGGCCGTGAGCTGTGGGTATTGGACCCTGAATTTCGAGCCGCCCTTGTTGCTGATCCCCCACCATCATCCTCCTCGGCTTTGGGCGGGGCAGCCATGGCGGGCCACAGGCACCGCTCGCATCGGCTGCTGCGAAGACACGCGCGCCAGCCCGACTCGCTGCTTGTCAAACACCACACGCTCTTCCGCTCGCTCTCGCGCTACGCCGACGAGAACGCCACCACCACCGTCTCGACCTCCGCAAAGGCTGCGTCTCGCGCACACGCCGCTGCGCTCCAGTCCAACCGCATCACACGCCTCAAGCAGCGTTACCCCGTCGCCGACATTTGGACGTACTCCTGGCCACGGCCGCCTACCGACCATCCAACATCGAGCCTCGACCCGAAAACGCAGGTGGACGAGGCAGTGGCGCGCATTGTGGCAGACTGCTTCGAGCGCGAATACGAGCGCTTCCGCACGCCAGAGTACTGCAAGGAACACCGCATATCGAAAGAGCATAGGGATCAGATCGTCATCGATGCAAACGACGTCGAAACGTGTGCGGCTGCAGCACAGGCGCTCGTGCATACCGCCATAACGCGGTTCACCACGGCGGCGAACAGGGGGCTTGTTGGCAAGCGGCCGCAAAAGATTGCCGAAGCAGCGTCGACTTCGGATGCAGCGGATGAGGCTCGAGATGCGGAAAAGGACGCTGCGGAGCTTGACCAAGAGATGGGCAGGCCGCAGCACACGCTGGGATGGCAGGAGCTGCTCGACTTTTTCCAGTCCACCGTGGGCAACTCGGCGGCGGCACAGTGGCGCAATTGGCACCTGATCGAGGCGATCGCACGCACTAGACTGCGCTGCAAAGAGCTATTCCCCCACGAATCTTCATAGCATATGCATACCTGTCGAGAAAGGAGCCTTGAACGTTGACAGTGTGTGACGATGGTGCTGAGCCTTAAAAATTGGCCGCTCGTTTACGCGACGCGCCGCGGGCAGAGACCAACACTCTGTGCCCGTTTATGAGGTAAGCGCCGACACCTCTCACCACCATCGACTCGGGCGCATTCACGATTCGGTCCGTGTTGTGTGCACTGCGCCTTCGCCCGGCGAGCACCCGCGCTGCAGCGATGCCCGTCTTCAAGCGGCGCGCCTCGTGTGCGAGCGACTTTTCGCCCTCTCCACCACCACCGCGCTCTAAAAAGACCAAACCCGCCAGTGCCATCGCCGACTTCAGCGCGATCCTTACGGGCGATACCGAAGATGATGTTGCATTGCTGCCTGCGAGGGCGCATGCCATATCGTACCACAAACCGCTCCTGCTCTCGCGCCCGCAGAACGTGGCGTCGCTGCTCGAGTGGTTCGAGCGCGTCTCCGACAGCCGTGCCATGCCGTGGCGTGCGCCCTTCCTCGACCCGGCTCACCATGATCCAGACAAGCTGAAAGAGGCGCAGAAGAAACGGGCGTACCAGGTGTGGATCTCCGAGATCATGCTGCAACAGACGCGCGTCGAGACGGTCAAGTCGTACTGGCTCGCATGGATGGCCAAGTGGCCCTCGATCGACATGCTTGCTGCCGCGCCCGAAGAAGAGGTTATGGCAGCATGGCGTGGGCTTGGATACTACAGCCGGGCGACGCGCATCCACACGGCCGCCAAACAGGTCGTTGCCGATCCAGAGCTGCAAGGTTCACTGCCACAAACGCCGCCCGAGCTCGAAAAGGTGCCCGGCATCGGAGCCTACACTGCGGGCGCGATATCTTCGATCGTCTTTGGGCAGGCCGTGCCCATTCTGGACGGTAACGTGGCGAGGGTGTTGTCGAGGCAGCTGGGGCTGTATGCGAATCCGAAGGCCAAGGCCACCACCGACGTGCTGTGGGAGGCGGCGCGGGTCGTGGTGGAGAAGGCGCAAGAGGTCAAGCAGGGCGGAGCGACGCCGGGGCAATGGAATCAGGCTCTAATGGAGCTCGGAAGTACACTGTGTACGCCGCTCAAACCGGCATGCAACGAGTGCCCGATCAGAGCCAGTTGCAGGGCACATGCCGAGGCCACGCTCCCGGCGAGCAAAGGCGGCGTCGAGGATATGGAAGACCTTTGCAAGCTTTGCGAGCCGTTCCCAAACGATATCAAGCCCGAACCTGCAGCAAAGAGCGAGCCCAAGAGTAAGAGTGGCAAGAAGATGCGACAGGCAACGCTCTCTTTCGGCACGTCCTCATCCACCGAAGCCAAGGAGACGGCGCGAGGGAGCGGGGACGAGGCTTTGCATGCGCACGTCTGCAAGTTTCCCATGAAGCTTAGCAAAAAGACGATCCGCACAGAGTCGTGTCTGGTGTGCATCATCCGGCGGCCTGCGGGCGAGTATCTGCTGGAACAACGCCCAGCGTCAGGGCTGCTCGCCAGCATGTGGCAGTTCCCCTCGCTCACCCTCTCCACCACCGAGGCAGGATCGACTCCCGCACCACCAACGCCGCCAACGCGCGCTGAAATTGACGACTTCGCCGCCTCGTTGCTCGGATCCAAGGCGGCAGCACAGGCGCACCAGCGCATCGGCACCATCGAGCACGTCTTTTCACACCTCCACCTCACCATGCACGTCTACTGCCTCGGGCTGGCCAAAGACGTAGATCTCCCTGCCGCCAAGCGGAAGAAGGAAGAGGGAAAGGCAAGGAACTTTGGAAGCAGCCTCGGCGACACTGCCACGAGGAGGTGGGCCGATGCGGCGGCAGTCGAGGCGGAAACCATGGGAACGGGTATGCGCAACTGCTGGATCGCGTATCAGCAGCAAGCCACCACACCAGCCCAGGCCAAGACCAAGCCGGACAAGCGCAAGGCGTGAGCGAATCGTAGATTTCCTGACCACGCAATCGTCCAAAAGCTTGCGTTCGAGTCCGAGGAGAGAAGGGAATGAGAATATGGTGGTGGGATTCTGCATAGAAGTACATGATGCGTCGGAGAAAGGGATGTATGAGTGCAAATGGCGGCGGCGGCGGTCACGACTTGTCGGCGACGATGCCGTCTTTGAGTTCTTGTGGCACGGGTGCGGGGAAGCCGTCCTGGAGCAATTCGGGCAGCACTGCCGAGTGGAAGAAGCTCGACGCAGCCATGGCACCGTTCTGATGGTAGATGGCGCCGACGATCGCCTCGACCGCCACGCCGCGCACCTTGAACAGACCCGTCTCGCGCGGGCCC